CCACTGCACTCCAGCCTGGGCAACGGAACAAGACTCTGTCTCAAACAAAACAAAACAAAACAAAACAAAAAAATACTCAAAAAACAAAAATGACCCACGTTCTAGGTGGGCTCTGCTTCTTGGCAGCTCGGTGCCCAAACAAGTTACTTTTCTCCTTGAGCTCCTCCTTTTCATCCACACACATAGAATGGAGTCCTTGTTGCTGGAAGGAGGGATCCAACTGCCCCATAGGGCACTGGGAGGGTGGGGGCAGTAGGTAGGGTGGGATGGCTCAGCCAACCTCCTGCCCTCAGAGAGAAGTCCCAGGCCACCACAGTCAAGTCATCCACCCACCAGTGACCTTGCCTGGCGGCTACTTTGACCTCCCTGCTTGGTCGACTGAGACAGTTATGACAACCTTAGCACTGTACACCCAGGTTTTCCAAGGAGGAGAATGCCTTAAGATGGGTGGGGGTCAAGAAAAGGACTAAAAAAGAAGAAAGCCATGGCCCAGATGATTGGAACATCCGGTTCTCTAAATGGTCCCCTAAACCCAGTCTGTGCCACATGAATGTGCTTTGTTTAAACAAACACACAGGTCCCAGATGCCAAGGCGGCAAATGAGACCCAGTTCCTGGCAAGGGTCACCAGCTCAGCTGCAGCTCCCCTGACTTCATCCTACCCCTTCCCACAGGCCCATGTCAGTCCCACCCAAGTGGCCCCCCAGTGTGGAGCACTCCAGGCAGAGGACGTCTCCCCTGGAGAGGGGTCTTGGAGAAGAATGACTGGCAGCTGGTGCAGAAGGCACACTACGTCTTGTGTGACTCCTTCCTGCCAACACACAGCAAGAACTTAGCACAGAAACTACGTGGTATAAGCTTTAAAAATAATGCCTGATACTACTACTGCTACCATTGTTGTTAGCCACCGGACAGCACACCACCGTGGAGCAAGCTCCTGGCTGTGGAGGCTGTGTGACCTTGAGAAAACTGCCTAGACTCTCTGAGATTGTTTGTTTGTTTTGAGATGAAGTCTCGCTGTGTCTCCTAGGCTGGAGTGCAATGGCACAATCTCAGCTCACAGCAATCTCCGCCTCCTGAGTTCAAGTGATTCTCCTGCCTTAGCCTCCCAAGTAGCTGGGACTACAGGTACCCGCCACCACACCCAACTAGTTTTTGTATTTTTAGTAGAGATGGGGTTTCACCATGTTGGCCAGGCTGGTCTTGAACTCCTGACTTCAGGTGATCCTACGCCTTGGCCTCCCAAAGTGCTGGGATTACAGGCGTGAGATACCGCCCTGAGATTGTTTTTTCATCTATAAAGTCAGGAAAATGATACTTTCCTCTGAGGTCCATTATCGGTATTAAGTGTGATACTTGCAAGAAAAGCATATGCTCAACAAATGAGTGCTATCATCATTTTATCATGGCTATTTAAACACATTAATGTGCAGTCTGTTCATAACTAAAACTGGACCTCACAGCTGATAGCTGTTTTTTTTACTTTTTCCACAATATTATGCTGCTTCTAGTCATGAATCAAATCACTGGACTTAAGGGTTTGAACTTGGCATAAACTGATCTTGATTCAAGTCCTGGCTCCTGGTGCTTGTGTGACCTTGGGTGAGTGATTTTTTACCCCTTGAAGCCTGGGTGTTCTCTGCTATAAAACAGAGTTGATAATAATCACACCTTCCTGATGGGTTTTTAATGAAAGTTTCATGGAGCAACGTAGGTAGAGCCTGCAGTGCTGTGTCTGGCACTAGGTAAGCACTCCATGATTGTTTAAGATTCTCTTATTCTGGCCAGGCTCGGTGGCTCATGCCTGTAATCCCAGCACTTTGGGAGGTCAAGGCAGGTGGATTACCTGAGGTCGGGAGTTTGAGACCAGCCTGGCCAACATGGTGAAACCCCGTCTCTACTAAAACTACAAAACATTAGCCCGGTGTGGTGGCAGGTGCCTGTAATCCCAGATACTTGGGAGTCTGAGGCAGGAGAATCACTTGAACCCATGAGGCGGAGGTTGCAGTGAGCCAAGATTGCACCACTACACTCCAGCCTGGGTGACACAACAAGATTCAGTCTCAAAAAAAAAAAAAAAAAAAAAAAAAAAAGACAAAAAGATTCTGTTATTCTTACACTGCCACCCCAACAATGGACAAAGCAAGTGGCTTCTGCAATTAGCATCCTTACGACAATACGGTGAGGTTAGAATTTTCATTCTCATGGCAGAAGTAGAAGCTGAGACTTACTGAGCCTCTGCTCCCGAACTCAGCAGAGGAAAGTGGATGCTGTTTGTCTCGCTGGGGCTAAGCTGCTTTGAATGCAGAGGCTGTGTTATTCTCCCCAGCCCAGGCTGTAAGCACAGTGTCCTGCCCACAAGCTTCTACATCCATCAGCTCCTCTGGTCCCACACCCACAAGGCAAATCCCCTCCTCACTTCCCCCAGGGTGAGCCCCAACATGACACTGGTGCAGGACACTGCCCTTCCGTGCCTCAGTTTCTCCATCTAAAAACAGTTGTGATAATTTCTGCCCTGGCGTTGGTATCAAAAGACCCAAGTGTGAATGCTGAGTTGGAATGGCCCTGAGCAACTGACTTCATTTTCTTTTTTTTGAGACAGAGTCTTGCTCTGTCACCCAGGCTGAAGTGCAGTAGCGCGAGCTCGGCTCTCTGCAACCTCCACCTCCCAGGTTCAAGTGATTCTCCTACCTCAGCCCCCTGAGTAGCTGGGATTACAGACATGTGCCACCATGCCCGGTTACATTTTGTATTTTTGGTAGAGACAGGGTTTCGCCATGTTCGCCAGGCTGGTCTTGAACTCCTGACCTCAGGTTATCTGCCCGCCTCAGCTTCCCGAAGTGCTGGGATTACAGACGTGAGCCATCACCGTGCCCGGCCTTGACTTCATTTTCTTAGTTTCTGTGTCTTTGCCTGGAAGAAGGGCTAATGGTAGAATGTGATAACAGGATGTTAAGTGAAAAGAGAGAGCCCCAAACAGTAATCAACATGATTCTAATTACATTTTAAAAAGTCGATCTATATGTATGTGTTTATATCTACTTTCTCAAAAATACAAAGAAAATCAACCAAAATGTTCCCAGTAGTACTCTCTGGACACTGGGCTCATGGGTGATTTTTGCCTTTCTTCTGTATATGACTTTTGTACTTTCCCAGTTTTTCTTTTCTTTTCCTTTTTTTTGACAGGGTCTTGCTCTGTCACCCAGGCTGAAGTGCAATGATGTGATCACAGCTTACTGCAGCCTCCAACTCCTGGGCTCAAGGGATCCTCCTATCTCAGCCTCTTGAGTAGCTGGGAGTACAGGCATATGCCACCATTCCTAGCCAATTTTAAGTTTTTTTTGTAGAGACAGGATCTTGGTATGTTGCCCAGGCTGGTCTTAAATTCCTGGCCTCAAGCAGTCCTCCCGCCTTGGCTTCCCAAGTGCTGGGATCAGAGGCATGAGCCACTGTGCTCGGCCTAGTTTTTCTATAATGAGTATGTGTCTCTTACAATCAAGAATTAGTAATTGAAGTCACAAATAATAGTTGCCCTTACTGCCCAGGGTTGCCTGAGGATTGCCTGTGGACACCCGTGAGGTGGCCTCTGTGAGCAAGCTTGTGTGGCACTGACTGTGCTTGCCCTGCCCTCCCGGGGTGCTGCCAGCCTGGCATCTGTAGGTCCTACAGGGCTTGCCCTTTGGCTGGGGGCAGAGTGACCAACTGCCTCTATGAAGATATGATCTCATCGAAGCTGAAGATTTCACCCAGAAGGGAGAGGAAGGAAAGAAACTGGAAGCAAATACCTTAGTTTTCTTTTTTTTTTTTTTTTTGAGACGGAGGCTCGCTGTCTCTCCCAGGCTGGAGTGCAGTGGTGCGACCTCAGCTCACTGCAACCTCTGCCTTCCGGGTTCAAGCAATTCTCCTGCCTCAGCCTCCCGAGTAGCTGAAACTACAGGCATGGCCACCAAGCCCAGCTAAGTTTTTTGTATTTTTAGTAGAAATGGGGTTTCACTATGTTGGCCAGGCTGGTCTCGAATTCCTGACCTCAAGTGATCCACCCGCCTCAGCCTCCCGAAGTGCTGGGATTACAGGCGTGAGCCACCACGCCTGGCCACAGATACCTGATTTCTAATGCCAGTCCCATCCCTGCCCCCTTGGGCCAAGCACTTGACTTTTCTGGCCTTAGTTTCCTAATCTATAAAAGAGGATTAAAGGTTGCTTGCCACACCGTTGAGGGAAGGGGTTGCATGTAGCCGCTCGGACCCTTGGCTCATTTGGATTAGGAGTCAAAGAAACCAAATGAGGAGTGCGCCTGGCGTATGGTCAGACCCAGGGAGCCAGCAGCACCTGGTATTCTGAGCTCCCTTCAGAGGCTGTTCCCTGCTGAGGATCAGATGTCCTTCCATCCAGCAGGAAGCAGGGGAAGGTGCTGATGCCCCAGTCAAGTCTGATTGGCTGCTGGGGGCGAAAAGTGTGACTGGAGCACTGACAAGGTAGGTGGAAGCAATAAGCTGTAACACCCCCTCTGGCTTGGAAAGTTTTGCTTCATCAACTACAGCTGGAACCTCCTGGGGCAAGGCAGAAGGGGCAGAACAGGGAGGTCTTCTACTGAGGGGCTGTCATCGATGTCCTGAGACATTTGTGGAGCTTCTGGTGTACACAGCGCGGACAGAGGTTCCCCTGAGAAGCTGACTGTCTAAAAGTGACACAAACCCTCTTCCCTGGTGCCTGTCCCCGAAACGCCCATCAGAAACCCGAATGGCATCCTGTTGCCAACTGAAGCAGTCCTCACCCTGCACATTAGAACCCCCTGCGGAGACTTCATCCTGATGCTCAGGCCTTACCACTTACGGGGGTGAGATTCTGTCACTGGTGTTTTAAAAAAATCTCCCCGGCACCTTTGGGAACTGCTGTGGGTGGGGGACCTACTGAATCCACCCAGTGAAACGGTGGCTTTGCCTGCATCTTGTCTCCCCGACCCTTGAATCACCTATAAAAGATGCGATGTCACGTCTTTGATACACTTAACATAGAGCTTTGTTGGAAGAGAAATCATTCAATCATTCAGCATGTTAAATTATCGTTTCATCCTGCTTTCAGTAGGCCCAGGGGTTACCAGGAGGTGCTTTCCTGGGGAGGGGGAGGCGCACTGCTGCATCTGATGCTGTCTACACTCCAGTTCATCTGACCCTTCTGCCTCCCTCCTCCATCCTGCCACACAGACCCTGCCCTCAGCCAAGACTGCTTCCCATTTTCAAGCTGGTACGCTTCCCTTTTCCCCATCCTCTGCATTTCAAAATATTCTCAGGCTGAATTTAAATGCCACTTCTTCCCTGAAGCCTTCCCTCCTTTACCCACTGGGATTCTGTGCTTTCTCTAATCTTCTCTTACTCTGTCATAATGATCTTATGTGCTCATTTCCTCCACTGAACTAAGAGTTTCTTGAGGCCAGAGTGCACATCTTGCCTTTCTCCCTTCAATGTCGAACACAGTTAACAGATCTAGGTGTCAATGAAGCTTTGCTGAAAGAATGGCTGCATCTCATGCTCTTTGAAGAGGGTATGTATCTCTTGCCATCAGAAATAGACAATCAAAAGTGTACAGTAACAACTGTTTCTCATGGGGGCTTGTTCTACAAATCCCCCTTGACCCAACACTTGGTGAGTAGGGATCCAGAGGTTATTGCTAGGACATCAGCTTCAGGGCCTAGACCCATCGCTCGCTAGGCCAGACCTTCATGTGTGACATCCAGCTGCCAGCGGGAAGAAGTCAGTCTCCACTGCCTCCACAGTCTCTGCTGCCACACTGTCACAGCTGGGAACAAGAAAAAGCAGCCCCAGAATGTTTGCTGCCATTGTGCATGGACGACGTCATTGCACATAAAAGCACTTAGTGCTCCATTATTGCGACTGGGCCTCCTGAAAACCCCTAGAGCTGGACAGGGCAAGGGAGGGGCTTCCCCTCATCTTCTCCTGAAGGGCTAAGCATGACAGGATGCCAGGCTTAGAGCCCGGCTGGGCTGGGTTTCTGACCCATTGAGTCTGCTGTGCCATGATGCTCCCTCACCTCCTTTGATCCTCCTGTATGCTGGGCTGGAGAGAATAGGAAGGGCTACTGACCCATTTTATAGAAGCAACCCTAATGGTTTGAGGAGTGAAGTCTAGCACAGGCTCAGCGGATGGAGGAAGAGTAAGCTGTCAGGAAGGCAGTAGGGGAGTGGTAGGATCCTGACTTGTCTCAGGGTCTTTGGAAAGTTGAGTGTGGCCTCTAAGGTGAGAAGACAGGTGTGGGCCACCACCAGGCAGGCAGCATTGCCCAGGCTTCTCTCTCCAGTCTGTCCTGTGCGGCATCTCCTTTGAGGGTCAGAGAAACCAGGACGGGAGGCAAGCTGGGGTGGGTCTCATTATAGAAAAGAGAAGACTAGGGCTACGAGGGGATGTTCCTGCCAGCACGCCGGCCTCTGATGCCACCTGCAAAACTGGTGGCACCACCTCAAACCCTTTTCAAACCTGGCTCAGTACAAACAACTCCCAAACCATACACTTTAGGAAAACTTCAAAAGAGATTCTAAGAATTATTTCTTTGGTGTTATACATTGCTCAGTGGCTTGGAGGTCCTGATCAGTGTGCTGAGAGATTCTGGAAAGCACCAAAAGTGGGGCCTCCAGGCAGGAAGAGGAAAGTTTATGCCTCCCAGGTGCTGCTGGCTGCACCTGGGAGCTCACAGTGACCGGGTTTCACCTTCATGAAGTGAAGTGGCATTTAGCTGATGGAGGCACGACATGGGGGCTGGGTGTGCTCCTGCGTGTTGGGGAAGCTGAGCTGCCAGGCCCAGGGTGGCAGGTGCCCTGAGGGCCAGGTCAGTCCAGCAGGGGTTACTGAAGGTGAGTGAGGAGCCAGGAGGGCAGGAAACTCCTGAATGTTTCCAGAAACCCTGTAGCTCTAGGACTTGCCTGGGCCAGGAGGCCTAGAATTAGAGACTTTCTGGGCTGGAAGGAACCTTAAAAGTCTTCAAATGCAACCCCCAATTTGAAGTCTCAGTAGAGCCCTCTGGGTTTGCTTGCTCACCTCCAGTGATGGGGAACTCAGTCCAGGCCTGGACAGACTGCATTCACACTGGCACCCCATCCCTTCCACCCGGTCCTGTTTCTGACCCTGGACAAAAAGAGGGCAGGCCTGTGTCCAGGTCTCTCTGGTGGCCCTGCAGAGATCTTCCCAGCTCGAGAGCTTCTTTGCTTGGGTCCTACGGTTCCAGACCTGGTTCCATTTTCTTCCCATCTTGGTGACAGTCCACCTCAACATTCAGGGCCAGAGTGGCTCCCTGGCCTCCCGGTGTTGCATTGTCCGTGCAGAGGGGAGCAGCTCTGCCTGTTTCCTTCTGGACCCTTTGCCTTTGTGGGCCCAGCCCACGTCCTGCCATCCTAACCGGATAGCCAGCCCAAAGTCGACCCCTCAGTCTTGCTCGGATTGTGCCAACCTTCGCCCATCTTTGTGCCCTGGGGTCTTGGGTGCCAAGGGCAGGGCATCACAGTCCTCTGGCCAGCTCCCGTCTGAGTTGGAGCTCCCTCAGGAGCCCCGCCCACCCTAAGTGCTGGTCTCCACAATGCACTTGAGGAACATCGTGTCGTCCTTCACATAGGCGTGCTTGGGTGACTGCAGTTTGTTGAGGGGGAAGAAGAGTGGGCAGCCACTGGCCACATTGGTTTCACTCTGGGGCCTCTGGAAGGACGCCGAGCTTAGGTCAGGCCGGAAGGCGTCAATGGCGTGCTCACGGTTGTTCTGGTCCAGCAGCATGAAGGTGACCTGCAGGGTAAGGGACAGGTGGGAGATCAGGCCCTACATTAGCAGCACAGCTTGGAGGCCCAGGCTTGTGCTCAGAGCTGTGCTCCACACCTACTGCCTGTGCAGCCCCTCGGACCCTTGGCTCATTTGCATTAGGAGTCAGAGAAGCCAGGCAAGGAGCGCACCTGGCGTATAGCCAGACCCAGGGAGCCGGCAGCACCTGGTATTCTGAGTGCACTTCAGAGGCCCTGATCCCTGCACTTCAGAGGCCCTGATCCCTGCTGAGGATCAGATGTTCCTTCCATCAAGCAGGAAGCAGGGGAAGGTTCTGATGCCCCAGTCAAGTCTGATTGGCTGTTAGGGGCGAAAGGTGTGACTGAAGCACTGACAAGGTGGGTGGAGACAATAACTTGTAAGCCTCTGGCTTGGAAAGTTTTGCTTCATCAACTACAGCTGGAACCTCCTGGGGCAAGGCAGAAGGGGCAGAACAGGGAGGTCTTCTACTGAGGGGCTGTCATCGATGTCCTGAGACATTTGTGGAGCTTCTGGTGTACACAGCGCAGACAGAGGTTCCCCTGAGAAGCGGACTGTCTAAAAGTGACACAAACCCTCTTCCCTGGCACGTGCCCCTGAAATGCCCATCAGGAAGTTGAATGGCTTCCCGTTGCCAACTGAAGCAGTCCTCACCCTGCACATTAAAACCCCCTGCGGAGACTTCATCCTGATGCTCAGGCCTTATCACTTATGGGGGTGAGATTCTGTCACTGGTGTTTTTAAAATTTCCCCAGCACCTTTGGGAACTGCTGGGGGTGGGAGACCTACTGACTCACACCCAGACCAAAGCGGCACACCCGCCCTGCCCCACCTGTTTCCCCATACCTGAGGTCTCTATTCTTGACACCCTCCACTCATGCAATGCTGCTCTTTACCCACAGGAAGTGCCTATCCCCCAAATCTGTCTATAGGAATTGTGGGGTTTTGTTTGTTTGTTTGAGACAGAGTTTCGCTCTTATTGCCCAGGCTGGAGTGCAATGGCACAATCTCGGCTCACGGCAACCTCTGCCTCCTGGGTTCAAGTGATTCTCCTGCCTCAGCCTCCCAAGTAACTGGGATTACAGGCATGTACCACCATGTCCAGCTAATTTTTTGTATTTAGTAGAGACGGAGTTTCACCATGTTGGTCAGGCTGGTCTTGAACTCCTGACCTCAGGTGATCTACCCACCTCGGCCTCCCAAAGTGCCAGGATTACAGGCGTGCGCCACTGTACCCGGTGAAGGATTTTTAATGGATTGTATTTTTTAGAGCAGTTTTAGGTTCACAGCAAAATTGAGCAGAAAATACAAAATTCCCATATACCTCCTGCCCCCACCCAATGCACAACCTCGCTGACTATCAACATCCCCCGCAGAGTGGTAGTTTTGTAACAGTTGATGAACCTGCATTGACACATCATCATCACCCAGAGTCCACGGTTTACATTGGCGTTTACTCTTGGTATTTCACCTTCTATGGGTTTTGACAAATGCATAAGGACATGTATCCATCATAACAGTATCAAACAGAATAGTTTCACTGCTCCCAAAATCCCCTGTGCTCTATTCATCTCTCCCGGCCCCTACTCTTGGACAACCACTGATCTTACTGTCTCCATAGCTTTTGTTTTTGTTTTTGTTTTTGAGACTGAGTCCCACTCTGTCCCCCAGGTTGGAGTGCAGTGGCGCAATCTCGGCTCACTGCAACCTCCACCTCCTGAGTTCAAGTGATTCTCATGCCTCAGCCTCCAGAGTAGATGGGATTACAGGCACACAGCCCAATGCCCAGCTAATAATTTTTGTACTTTTTGTAGAGACAGGGTTTTGTTATATTCCCCAGGCTGGTCTCAAACTCCTGGGCTCAAGCACTCCACCTGCCTAGGCCTCCCAAAGTGCTGATATTATAGGTGAGAGCCACCGCGCCTGGCCTGTCTTCATAGCTTTGCCTTTTCCAGAATGTCATATAGTCAGAAGCATTCAGAACGCAGTCTTTTCACCTTGACTTCTTTTTCTTAGTAATATGTGTTTAAGGTTCCTCCCTATATTTTCATGGCTTGATAGCTCTCTTCTTTTTAGCACCAAATAATATTCCACTGTCTGGATGCACCACAGTTTATTTATCCATCCACCTACTGAAGGACATCTTGGTTGCTTCCAAGTTTTGGCAATTATAACTAAAGTTGCTATAAACATCCTTGGGTGGTTTTTGTGTGAACATAGTTTTCAGCTCCTCTAAGTAAACTCCTTTGAGTCCAAGGACAGCAACTGGCTATATCGTTTGGCATGAGTATCTTTGGTTTTGTAAGATACTGCCAAACTGTCTTTCCAAGTGGCTGTACCATTTTGCATTCCCACCAGAAGTGAGTGAGAGTTCCTGTTGCTCCACATCCTCGTCAGCACTTGGTACTGTCAGTGTTCCAGATTTTGGCCATTCTAGTATGTATTAATATGTAGTGGTACCTGCCTCCTTCCTTTTTCCTGAAAATTCTGCTAGTTCAGGCGAGCCTCATGGCACCTCCTCCCAGAAGTTTTCCTTATTTACCCCACGATGTGAAGGGGGAAGAAGAGTGGGCAGCCACTGGCCATTCATTCTGTCCCTCCCTCCCTTTTTGCCTCCCTTCCTTTCTTCCTTCCCTTCCTCCATTTCTTTCTCTCTCTCTCTCTCCCCTCTTTCTTTGAGGCAAGGTCTCACTCTGTCACCCAAGCTAGAGTGCAGTGGCAAGGTTATGGCACACTGCAGCCTCAACCTCCCAAGCTCAAGCAATCCTCCCACCTAAGCCTCCCAAGTAGCTAGGACTACAGGCATGTGCCACTACGCCCAGCTAATGGTTTTTATTTTTAGCAGAGATGAAGTCTTGCTATGTCTCCTGAGCTCAAGCAATCCTCCCACCTCAGTCTCTCAAAGTGCTGGGATTACAGATGTGGGGCACTGCACCTGGCCATGAATTTCATTTCTACATAACCTTTGGGAAGATTCCAGACATTTTAGCTCCTGGACTCATGGAGCTGGAGGGAGCCCTAGTTACTAGATCTGATTGTTTTAGAAAAAGGGAAACTGATAACACAGTGAGGGTGGGGGACTTGCCAGGTCACATGGCCAATTCATTGCCAAATCAGGACTAGGACTCAGGCTTCCATGTTCCCCACCTTGCCCCCATCACCTCCACGCCCATACCTTGTTCCGGAAAGGCCATGGCAGCAACGCGTCATACTCCCCTCTCATGATCACGATGAAAAGCGACAGGTGGGTCCTCTTTCCAGTGCCATCTCCATTCAGGTACAGCCGCAGGCATAACTTGTAGCCATACTTGGCAGTGTAGAAGGCTGAAATGCAGAAGCCACAGGCAGCTGGGAAGTGCTGGACTTTGCAGATGTGGGACTGGGATCCAGCGGTCAGGCATGCCCAAGGTCAGTGGCTCAAAACCATGAAAGATGGGATTAGAGCCCAGCACTCTTCTCGAGTAGGGTGTCAGAGAGGAATGGGCTCTTGGGGGTCATCTAGCTAAGTGTTTGTCAGCTGGTCATCCAAGTCATACACTGCCAGGCCCCACCCTCAGAGTTTCTCACTCGGTAACCCTGGGGTGAGAACTGAGAGCGGGCACTTCCAGCAAGTTTGCAGGGGGTGCCAATGCCACTGGTCCTAGGACCACACTCTGAGAACCACTGATCTGACCAACCTATGTTTTACAGTCTGGAAACCAAGCTGAGAAAAAGACAGTGGCCGGTTACCATCTCACAGTGTGTTGGGGACCCAGCAAGAATGAGGGGCCAGGCTTCCTGCCTCCCAGGACCGGTTTCTTTCTGCTGCCCTATGCCAACTGGTTGGGGTCCCCTGGAGGCTGAGGGTACATGGGGTGACTCACAGTTCTGCCCTATGCCAACTGGCTGGGGTCCCCTGGAGGCTAGGGGCACATGGGATTACTCGCAGTTCTGCCAGCCATTCTCAGGTGGCAAAACCCTTTGAGGGCTGAATCATCCCTGGTGAAGATGCACAGAAACCCCCTGGGCAGCTAAAGGGGCCATCCCAGGAGAGCATGTCCTCTGGCAGAGCGCCCTTCTGGGAGAGGTTGACTGGGGACATGAATTGGGGGCAGGAAGGAAGGGGGTGGAGGAGGCACAGGCTGGCAGTCTGACTCATCTCTGCCCATTACGTTTTGGTAGAACAGGAAGCTCGAGGTACTGCTTGCTTTTTCCCTCTTTAAAAAGAATCGAGGGAAAAAGGTCTACAAGTAGGGCTCGAGACCGCCCCATGAAGACAGCTGTCCCAACACAGCAGGATGAGTGCTGCTCCTGCAGGAAAGGGGTCCCAGCCCTGCTCTAGGAGTGTGACACACTCCGCTGCCTCATTAAAAAAAATTTTTTTGAGAGGGTCTTGCTTTGTTGCCCAGACCAGAGTGCAGTGGCACCATCATAGCTCACTGCAGACTCAAACTTCTTAAGCTATCCTCCTACCTCAGCCTCTCAAGTAGCTAGGACCACAGGTGCAGGCCACCATGCCTGGCTAATTAAAACATTTTTTTGTGGAGATGGAATCTTTTTTTTTTTTTTTTTTTGAGACGGAGTCTCGCTCTGTCGCCCAGGCTGGAGTGCAGTGGCGCGATCTCAGCTCACTGCAAGCTCCGCCTCCTGGGTTTACGCCATTCTCCTGCCTCAGCCTCCTGAGTAGCTGGGACTACAGGCGCCTGCCACCGCGCCCGGCTAATTTTTTGTATTTTTAGTAGAGACGGGGTTTCACCGTGGTCTCGATCTCCTGACCTTGTGATCCGCCCGCCTCGGCCTCCCAAAGTGCTGGGATTACAGGCGTGAGCCACCGCGCCCGGCGAGATGGAATCTTGTTATGTTGCCCAGGCTGGTCTTGAACTCCTGGCCTCAAATGATCCTCTTGCCTCAGCCTCCCAAAGTGTTAGGATTATAGACATGAGCCACTGCACCCAGTCTGCTGCCTCATTTTTTGCCCAAATATATGCATTGTTATATTAACAGATATCATTTAGTTAAGAGAAACACTTGCCAAGTAATTACTTTATGCAAGACATTGTGCCAAGCCCAGGGGCCCCAGAAATGAGTAAGAAATGAGTAAGCCACTCATTCACATGCTAACTGCAATCGTACACAAGTGCATGTGTCTTACTCAGTTCTCTAATCTTATTTCAGACTGTTGGCTCTCTGAGGCCAGGGGTCCCATGGTGTTCACTGGTGAAAATCATCATTCACATCCATCTTGTCTGCACACACTGTGGCCCACAGCACACCTTCCTTCACATCCCAAACCCATGAAGTGGGTAACAGTTTTGATTCCTATTTGCAGAATGGGACTGACATTCAGGGAGGAGAAAGGGCCTGAATGTCAGTCAGCCTGGGCCACTGCTGTGTGTGGCTGCGAGCCACAGGGCAGAGCATGGTTCGCCCACCAACCTCAAGGTCCCAGCACCCAGCATGGTTCTCGGCCGTGGTGAGTGGCCTGAATGGGCACTGGCCTAAACTGGACATAGCGTGGCTGTCACAGAGCTGGCTGTTTTCACTGCTTGCTTCCTGGGTCCTGTGGGGCCTGTTTCCCAAGAAGGTCTCTGTGCCTCTGGGAGGTGTTACCTGGGGAGAAGAGGCTGACGGTCCTGCCACAGGCCGACTCATGGCACCGCCTGGTGACGTTGGTGATCTTCCACAGGAAGGTGCCATCAAAGGAGGCCTCCTCCATGAGGCGCAAGCTCTGCTCCAGCTTGCCCAGGGCCTGGTCTTTCTGGGCCAGGGTCTGCTGCAGCTCCACCACCTGTAGGGAAGACTGTTCAGCCAGGAACACCAGAACCTGGCTTGGGGATGGGATGGGAAGGGCGGGATGTGAAGATTGATCTGCCCCAAAGGTGCTTTCCTGACCACGCCTCACTCAGGCGTGCGTCTACATCTGAACGTGCTGCCCTCTGCCTGGCCTTCCTTTTCCTCATCCACCAGGAATCCAGCTCATATGGCCCCTCATCTGGGAAGCCTTTAACCACTGTCCTAGCTCAGTTGCTCTGTTTCAATATGTTCTTACAGAGCCCTTACAAAGATTTTATGAGACATACTTTTCTGCCTTACCTACCAGATGGTCTCCTCCACTGAAAGCTGGGCCCATGCTCATTTTGTCTTCGTGCCCGTGCCTTGCATAGTGCCTGGTATGTAAAAGTAGAGCTGGGAAGTTTGTGGGTGAAATGAAGATACAATTGTGGCTTTCAGGGAGGCTGCCTTTTAACTGGAGCAAGAGTTACATAAATAAAGGCTAAAGCCTCAGCCACTCCAACTCAGCGCCTGGCCCTTCTAATAGCTTTCCCCAATGAAGTGGAAAGAATACAAATTTATTCTTGGGTGTACTCAGGTAGGGAAGCCATGAATGGAAGTGAGCATCCTTAGAGAAAATTTAATCGCTAACTTTACTGATGGGGAAGGTCCTGAGAGGGAAAGTGACTTGCTCAGACCCATAGGGCAGGTGGCTCTGAGCACCTGCTGTCATAGTAACTGTGAATGGTGAGGCAGTTAATTAATGGTAATGGTGAAGCAGGAACTAAAACCCAGGCCTAACTCAGTATGAGCAATGATGTAACGTTACTGCAAAAGAAGCAACATTAGAATGGTGATTGGCTACATTAAGAAAAGTATAGGCCAGGCGCAGTGGCTCATGCCTGTAATCCTAGCACTTTGGGAGACCGAGGAGGGTGGATCACGAGGTCAGGAGTTTGAGACCAGCCTGACCAACATGGTGAAACCCCATCTCTACTAAAAATACAAAATATTTAGCTGGGTGTGGTGGCAAGAGCCTATAATCCCAGCTACTCAGGAAGCTGAGGCAGGAGAATTGCTTGAATCTGGGAGTGGAGGTTGCAGTGAGCCAAGATCGTGCCACTGCACTCCAGCCTGGGCGACAGAGCGACACTCTGTCTCAAAAAAAAAAAAAAAAAAAGAAAAAGAAAAAAAGAAAGAAAGAAAGAAAAGAAAAGTATAAGCTCTAGAATAAGGGAGGAGAAGACAGCCCTGTTGGACCAAGAACTGTGGCTAAGTGGATTATCTGGAGTCAGCCTGGGACCACACTCCAAGCATATAGAATTCTTTGGAGACTGAGCCAGATCATAGGAGGGCAATGTGAAGCAGCATGCTCTGAGGAAAAGGTGAAGGCGCCGGGGCTTTTAGCCTGAAAAGGGAAGCACTCAGGTAGGACAGAATCCGACTCTCCATCCCTGAAGGGCTGTCATGGGGACTAGAAGGTGGATTTGTCTTGTGGGCTCTGAGGGCCAGGGCCAAGAACAATGCAGGGAACAGAGAGGCTGATTTAGCTTAGTATAAGGAAGAGTGGAATATGTCCTGCACTGGAATGAGCTGCTCAGGGAGGTGGTGTCTTATCACAAAGGAACCGAAGCACTGGATGGGAGGCTGTGACCTTGACTACAGCTTCCAACTCAGCGCTCTTCTTGGAAGGGTGTGGGATAAAGGGGAGATATGTTTTGAGGGAGTGACTGCTCTAAGCAGGATGAATGATTAGTAGGAAGCCTGTCTGCTGCTCTGGAGACAGGATGGGGCTCAGCCAGGCTTGAAGGCAAACTTGCCTCCCACACTCACCCTCTGCTCCAAGCTCAGGATGCGCTCACGGTCCAGCTGGCTCTGGTGGATGGAGGTGGCCAGGGCCAGGTGGGAGGCCTCCACCTCCTTGTTGAGGACAGCAACAATGTTCTCAAACACACGCAGCTTCCCTTCCAGCTCAGCCAGAAGCTTCTCCTTCATGAAGTGCTGCAGGGCCAGCTCCTCCTGGCTCTCGGAGCAGGGTGCCCGGTAGCAATCGACCTCCAGGTCCCCCGCCACTTCCACGGCTGCCTGCAGCTGCAGGTCTGACAGGTTCTGCTCCAGGGCCATGGGCCCAGACTCCAGGCCAGAGCCCAGCCGGGTCTTCCACTGTTTCATGAATCCCAACAGCAGGTTTAGGTGGGAGGTCTGGGAGGTGACCTCATGCTCTTGCACGGACTGTGGGCTTCCCTGACAAGAGAGTGGGGCTGATTAGTGAAAACAGAGGTGGAGTGAGGACAGGGGAGCAGTGGAGTGCCCTGCTATCAAAGGTCACCAAGGAAAGTCAGATTCATTCACCCAGTGAAGAGGAGTGGATTTCTGTACAGTGGGAGGGATTCAGAGGAAGACCCTGGCATCAGACATGCCCACGATGAGCCACATGCATTGTAGCTTCTAATTCTGCTCTGCCCTGCCCTGGAGCGCAAGGATGATTCAGGACCATGGAGAGGGGCGGTGGAGGTGGGGGTCGTTTTAGTGATGTTCTGCGGATGCTTAGGTGAGACATTAAGAAGAACCTCCCTGAGTACTATGATGACTTAATAGTAGGCTCTGATGCTTGGGAAAGTCATTAGTACAAGAGACATCCAAATGAGTGGACTGATGTTATGGTAAAATTCTGGAGGGGCTGCAGTGGGAAGACCTGGAGGTCTGGAACTGCAGTGGACAGATCTCCTTTCTCACACTCAAATACTTACCTTGAAGGAGCAGCCGACACCTGCAAAGGGGCACCCAACTCCAGCCTCGGCCACCTCGGGATGAGCCTGGAAATAATAATCACATCACTGAATGTTATAGCAATCCCTGTGGCTACCCTGGGGGCTCTCTTCAATGCACCAGGATCCACCAGTGTAGGAGATGGCTTGGGCCACACGACTTTGCACATGCTGTTCCCTTTGGCTATCTCCTTTCCACCCTTCAAGCTTCTGCCCTTCCATGACCTTCCTTCAAAACAGGATCTAGGCCCCTACTGTGATCCTGGGCAGCACTGCTATTTCTCCTGTCAGGGCACAGTCCACACAGCTCCATAATCATCACTCATTCTCTGGTTGCCCCAACTCGTCGGGGCGGCTCTGTAAGGGTCATGGCTGTGTTCCCAGTGCTGAGGGCAGTGCCTGGCACAGCTGAGACACTCAGAACACACTGACTGCATGAGTAAATGCGTCCCTCCTCCTGAAGTCCATGGGGAATCTTGTGGTCACAATTCCCATCTGCATCCCTCCTTGGCCATCTATCCTAGACTAAGGTGTGTCCATTCAGCAGAACTTTCCCTTTCAGATAATGTCCAGCCCGAGGGAAGGGACACAGGAGGGTCTCAGTGCTATTACAATAGCAATTTGACCCCACTGTTAACCTATTTAGGTCTGAAGCGTTTACCAAATGCTTTCAAGGCTGTAATTCTTCCTAGGGCTCCTCACAGCACGGTGGGGAAGAGAAGGTGGGTTTTTATTCCTATTTTACTGATGAAAAAACTGAGGCTCACAGAGGGGAAGGGATTTGCCCAAGGAGGCCAAGCTGGGAGGCCGCACAGCCCCAGGGCCCCTCCCACACACATCACTGCCTCTTAACAGGAGTCAGCCCAGGAGAGATGGGAGAAAAGTTTTTCCAAAACATATACAGCCATGCAACAGGAATATGTTCTGAGAAATGTGCCATCATTGTGTGAACATCATAGGATGTATTTACACAAACCTGGATGGTATACCCTGCTACACACCGAAACTCAGTGACGGCCTATTGCCCCTAGGCTACAAACCTGTACAGCACGTGACTATACTAAATACTGTAGGCAACTGCTAACACTGTAAGTACATGTGTATCTAAATATATCTAAACATAGAAAAGGTACAGTAAGAATACAGTACTATACTCTTCTGGGACCATCGTTGTATATGTGGTCCGGTGTAGAGTGTTATATGGCACATGACTGTATCTTCATAAAGGCTTGTATCCAGAATATATAGAGAACTCTTACAATCTAATAAGAGACAAATGACCTAATAAAAAATGGGCAAGGCCAGGCTCAGTGGCTCCACACCTATAATCCCAACACTTTGGGAGGCTGATCCCAACACTTAGGGAGGCTGAGGCAAGAGGATTGCTTGAGGCCAGGAGTTCAAGACAGCCTGGGCAACATAGTGAGACCTCATCTCTACTTAAAAAAATGTTTAAATTAGCCAGGCTTGGTGGCGTACACCTACAGTCCCAGCTACTTGGGAGGCTAAGGTGGGAGGATCGCTGGAGCCCAGGGGTTCAAGGCTGCACTGAGCTATGATCACATCACTGTACTCCAGCCTGGGTAGCAGAGAAAGACCTTGTCTCTCTTAAAAAAAAAAAAAAAAAAGCAAAACAATGAACAGATACAAAAGCAAAACAACGAACAGATACAATCTATGAAAGTATCTTATAAAGTTAAATCATACTTATAAAATAATTTACTTATAAACCATACTTATAAAGTTACCGTACAATGCACACACTTCACTCCTAGGAATTTACCTAAGAGAAAGTAAAACATGTGTCTGCACAAAGGTGTGTATGTGAATGTTCATGGCAGCTTTGTTCAAAACAACCCAAATGTGTCATCAACTGGTGAGCAGATAAACAAATTGGTCTATATATACTATAGAACAACCAAATGGCATTAAATACCAGCATAAACAATAACATGGATGAACCTCAAAAACACTGTGCCAAGTGAAAGAAGTCAAACACCAAAGACTACATACTACCTCTTTCCATTCTTACGAGTTTCTAGCAAAGGCAAAACTAGAGTGACAGTAAGTAGATCAGTGGTTGCCTGGAGCTGTGGGTGGGGAAGGGATTGACTATGCAGGGACACAAAGCAGCTTTATCCCGTGCAGAAACGTTTGCCACTTGACTGTAGTGGTGGTCATGTGATTATTTATATTCCTCAAACTGTATACTTCAAATGAGTGAGTTTTATTGCATATAAATAATATCTTGAGTCTATAAGCTCTTTATTTATTTATTTATTGAGAGAATAATCTCATGGAACCACGTGAAAGGGGATTTGGATGAAAGCAGGAGAGGACAGAGGTGTTTCGGACTGAGTAAATACAAAAAGCCACACTGTTATTATTCTTTAAAAGTAACATAAGCAGAGAGCTGTGGGCTTAATGAGTACAGTTGGTTTGGGACACAGACAGAACACAGCCCAGCAAAGGCCACCGTACCCCCACCCCCACCCCCCCAACTGCCCAGGGCTTCAGGGACAAGTTGTTCCCAACAAATAATAGAAAACAGATGTTTTATGGAAGGCAGGCAGAGGGCGGCCTTGGCAGGGAGACTGTGTTGGCTTCAGGAAGTCTGTGGTGATGAAACCTCCCTGAACATGTAGCTTTTGACATGTGAGAACAGTGGAGGAAGATGCTACGTGTGGACCTGGCTCCTGGGTGAACACACTTTGGGGAGCCTCTCAGGTCCCACCATTCCCTACAGGTCCATGATTCCAATCCTCTGTGGTTCTAAGGGTCAAAGCTTGGTGGGAGAGTCATAAAAGGGATAAGAACGTGAAAATGATCAAGCTAAGAGTGAAATTCTAGACATCACCCTGCAGGTGGAGGGGATGTGTCTTTCAGCAGCGGAGCCGTCCTGGTGTTGTGCGAACAGCAAATGCCCGTTTCAGGAAGTGAAACGCTATTCAGATGTAGGGACATCCTTCTGTGATGTGTGCCCAGATGTGGCCTGTGATGAGCCTTGAATGGTTGCTGCAGAAAGGGGCAGGGGTGACTTGAGAGGGTTTCGGAGGCTTCTCCGTCATCATTATTCATTCCTTAGAGTGCACGCAAGTTCAGGGTGTGGCCTCAGGAGCCAGCCTTTTGGGGTTCAGAGCTTGTTTCTGTCACTTCACATACTAGCTTTGTGGCCCTGGGATAGTTATTAACTCCTCTGTCCTGCAGTTTCCTCATCTGCAAAATGAGGATAATAATAATATCCCCCTTACAGGGTTATTGTGAGGATTAAATGAGATAATACATGTAAGCACTGGTATTAGTTACCTATTACTGCTGTAACAAAACATCACAAACTTAATGGCTTAAAACAACACAGCTTTATTATCGTACAGTTCTGGAGGCCAAGGGTCCTAACATGGAAACGTCAGCAGGACTGTGTTGCTCCTGGAGGCCCAAGGGGAAGATGGCTTCCTCCCTTCCCCAGCTTCTCAGGGCTTCCTGCACTCCTCGGCTTCTGGTCCCTTCCTCCATCTTCAAAGCCAGCAGTGGAGCATCTCCCCTTCTCTCTGACTCTCCTCTCCCTCTTCTGAGGACCGTTGGGCCACCTGGATAAGCCAGGGTCACCTCCCCATCTCAGAATCCTTCATTTAATCATGTCTGCAGAGTCTGTTTTGCCATTGTTATGGGCTCAGCACCCCCCACCCAAATCATATGTTGAAGTCCTAACCCCCAGTATCTCAGAATATGGAGACAGGGCCTCTAAAGAGCTAATTAAATTAAAATGAGGTCATTGGGGGCGGGCCCTAATGCAATGTGACTGGCACCCTTTTAAGAAGGGGAAATTTGGAGAAGGACCACATGAAGACATAGGGAGGGGACACCCATGTCAAGGCAGGGAGCGAGGCCTTGGAGGAAACCACTCGCCAATACCGTGCCTCGAACTTCTGATCTGCAGAACTGCGAGGAAATACATTTCTGTTGTTTACACCACCCAGTCTGTGCACTTTGTTATGGCAGCCCTGGCAAATGCATAGAGCTATGTGAGGTCACATACTCACAGGTCCCGGGGATTCACATGGGGACATCTTTGGAGGACATTATTCTGCCTAACACAGTGTTCAATAAATATGAGCCATTATTAGTAATAATAATTATTAGTATTGAAATTATTAAATACTACTACTGAATACTTGTTGAATACTACTACTATTAATAACTCTAAGAATACTAATAGTAGTAATACTAATACTATTACTACTAATTACTACTAATACTATTACTATTACAAATACTATTATTAGTATTACTACTAATTAGTATTCTTATTCCTATGGATTAAGCACACTGCCCCTGGGACATCCCCAGTCCCAGTTCTCCAGCGGCTGTCATACACATGTATCTCATTTAATCCTCACATCATAAACTCTTAACAACAAATTCTCTAAAATTCCATTTTCCCACTGGATTTCCTCAAGGCAGTGAGGAATATCCCTAAATGAACAGGACCAAAACATGTTTGAATGTTGTCCCATAGGATCCCTGTGACAATCCTCTGAGGCAGGTGGGGCTGGATTAGTGTCACCTTAATACCGGCAGAAACAGAGGGAATGGCTTAAGGTCACGCTGAGCTCGTGAGTGGAGGAGGCGGGTGTGCCTGTGTGTTCTCCCCCATAGTTGTGAGCCTCTGCAAGGGCTCACTGCTCTCCTGGCACTCATGTAGACACTGTCCCATCAGATCCTCACAGCCATGATGGGGAGGCTGGGGCTTTGAGGTTCTGCTTCCCTCGGGTAGGTGGAGAAGCTGAAGCCCAGGGGTGATCAGTGACTTGTAGGAGGCAACGGGGCAGGCGAGGGCAGCCCAGGAGCCTGGAGTCCATGTGCAGGTTCTGTCCTCCCCACCATAGTGTCCTTGCCTGGGGTGGCCTCATTCGAAGGCCAGGGACCGAGGAGACAGGAGAGGGAATCAGGAATCAGACTGCGTTGCAGGAGAAGAACAAAGGCTGTGTCCCGGGCCAAACCCGTCTGGTGTCACAAGTGGCCCCTGTGTGAGTGGCCTCACTGCTTGCAAATTGCTAAAAATAAAGTGTGTAGTGGAATTTCCTCCGAGGAGGAGACAGAAACAGAGAAAACAGATGCCCAGCCCTGAGGGAACACTCGTTCTTCTGTCTGGGTCTGAGGAGTCTCTGTGTGTGTGGTTTCCGGTCACCCCAGCTACCCAGGCCCTTTGTGGTGGGGTCACAGTGGGCCCTAGCGGGAGGCCCCATTCTGAGACCTGGGGCCTCTGGGAATTTGACTGTTAAGAGGGTGCCGGGAGCATGAGTGCCACCTCTGCAGCACCTGCACAGAACAAAGAGGATCTGAGCAGGCCAGGCACTGCCTACCCCCACACTGGGCTGAGGTCAGGGATGGCCGGAGGGGCTGCTTTGGCTCAGGTCTCAGCTGGTGCTGAGGGGGTACTCTACATGGGGAGCTTGGTCAGCCTGCCACTCTCAGCCCGTTCCTGCCCTCCTCTGTAACTGGGCCAGTTTAGTCTCTGTCAGCCTCCGCTCAGCTCAACTGCCGCCTCCTCCAGGAAGCCCTGCCTGATTCTCCTGGTTGAAAGTAGTCTTGCCCATCCCTGTTTTTTCCATAGCACTTGGTGGACTCCTGCACTAAAGCCTGACTGTGTTGTTTAAGCAGGTATGAAACATTTAGGGGAGGATTCCTTGTGTAGAGGCAGCATAGAGAAGATGCCACCACCTCAGGAGCCATGGGTTAGAGCCTGGCTTTGCCTCTCACTTGCTGTGTGACTTTGGTCCAGGCACACCTCCTCATGGAGCCTCAAAATATTACCTATTGGTAAAATAGGGCTATCACCACCACCCACCACACAGAATGTCACAGGATCGGGGCGATTACGGATGAACACTGTCAAACTCAGAAGTGTAAGGTTTGGGGGTTTATTCCCAGGTATCACACTCCAAGGAACACAGATAAACAGAAGCACATTTACCCCAAATGCACAGAGACTGGCGAAAGACTGCTCAGTGTCTTTCCACGGAGGCAGGACTGACTCCGGGGACAGGGGGCTGAGTTGCCTTTTGTGACCTCAAGGGAGACAGACTCCAGCTCAGTACAAAGGAAGAGGAGAATGTTGCCTCCATCAGAGCGCCCCAGGGTGGGTGTGGTTGTTTCATGGAGTAATGAGCTCTCTGCCATTGGAAGGACATGGAGCTACGTAGCAGGAATCCAGTACAGAACAGAAATTGGACTAGACAGCTTAAACTTCTGTCATTTTCTGACTCTAGAAAAATTAAGGCTTTACTGTGAGCTACTGGCATCAGATGTCAGCTTGCCTTTGACCTTCTTGAATGGGCCTCAGGGGGAAGAGTGGGAGAAACTATCCCATTGCTGATCCTCAGCAGACAGGACTGAAGGTTTTTATCTTCCAGTCCCCCTGGACGTTCCCTCCTTCACTGTCACTTCTACAGGAAGATCATGTGAGGCAACTATCAAGTCTCTAACTAGGTCAACATTAATCCTTTAATATCCGCTTCTTATATCAGGTAATCAGTCCATGGCTCTGGGCACTTCTTCAGGAGATAATCATCTAATGAAGTCAGAGGCTGAGGATAAACTGATAAGCAGATGGTATGGGAAGTGTTTGCAAGGAGGGCTGGTCCTCAGCCCTCTACCCTGCCTCCATTTCCCAGGTTGCCCTACATGTGCAGGCAAACTTAGGAATTACCACACATGCAAAGTGTTGACTTTTCATCAGCCATTTTCCTTTGTTCAAAAGTCCCCCAAAGTTCCCACTGGGGCAAAAGTCAGAGGAGTCCCCTGGTCCTTCCCCTATGTGACTTTGTGTAGGTGATCAGACCATGACTACTGCCCCTCCCCACCCCAGCTTTTCACCAGGAGTCCATGACTCCATGAGGTGGGGAAGCCAGCAGGGAGGGGAGGGGGCTGCTGCCTCTCAGAGGTCTGCCTGTGTTAAGGAAGCCTTCTTTGCTCGCAAATACAGGCAGCTTCCTCTCCCATCCTATAGCCTGTTAAGGTGCCTATAATTCTACCATGAATTATAGTCCCTTCATTTGGCTCAAGGCAGCAAGTTTCAAACTGTGCTCTGCAGGGCCCTAGGAGTCCCCAGAACCTCTTAGGGGCTGGGATAAGAGAAAGAAATGGGGCAATTAACAGGCCAGGGCTCCAGGCTCCCCCTCCATCAGAACGTTTCTACTTTCATCTGATTGAAAAAGATGAAAATAAGCCATTGGATTAGGAGATATTAAAACATCTATGTGATCTAAGATTTACACAATAGATGTATGTTAATTTTGTTAAGAGGAAAAAATAAAACAAGCTAAAAACAACAGTCCTAGAGCACTCAAGCAGGTAACGTCCTTTTGCAAGTGAGGCACAGTGGCCCACAGAGAGTTGAGGGTCTGCTTGTGTCTCACAGCCAATCCCCCAGGAGCCAAACAGGGAGGCTCAGGGAGTTACTCCACGGAGCAGTGTATCATATTAACTCTTACCACGTTGCAGAGTGTAAAGTTCCAAGAACATGCATTTGATCCTTACTCTTACTCCCTGAGGGCCTGCCGATGGAGAGGCTGCTGAGAAGCAGATGGGAGAGTGCTCAAAACCAGCTCTGGGTGGGAGAGGAAATTCCCCTGAACTCTCTGAATGAGAAGGACCAGCTCAGAGAAAGGAGAAGGAGGTGTGGACACTCGCCTGCCTCTGGTCCAACGGTAGGGGGATAGCTGCCCTGCTGGCACTGCTATCATGGTCTCCTGGAAAGGCCTTGCAGAGCCGGCTTAACATCCTCATTTTACAGATGCAGACACAGGGCCTGGGAATTGCTGCCAGCCGAGCAGAGAATTATGCAGAACTACCCCTGGACATCAGGCTCCTGATCCCTGGGCAACAGTTTGCTGCAAGAAGAGGGCTTTGGCTGAAAGGAGCCAGGCACCTCACAGTGGAGGTAGAGAGGGTGGCTGAGCAACGAGACTCCTCTGCGGGTCTCAGGGCCCCATGTGTAAACAAGAGGATTTGATTTTGAGCAGTGACTCCTGCCTGTTTGGATTCGTGGACCAATATGAGAGAGAGAAAGTGTGTGTGTGTGTGTGTGTGTGTGTGTGTGTGTGTGTTTAATTGAGACATTAACAAAGAGATTGCCATCTTTTCAATTTTTCTTAGTAAAGGCTTTACCAAAAACTATCATCTATTATTACATCCTCTCATTTATATAAAGACATGCATAGGACTAAAGACATGCATAGGACAGACACAATCTCAGAGTAAAGGTTGGTTTTAGAAATGGAAAGAATTCAGTTTACATAAACTCATTTATAGAATTGCCTTATTTTTATCATTTTGTCATGAGCTAGTGGGAATGGATCAGTTCTGGATAGCACGTGGGAACCTTTGAGCAGGACATGTAACCTGTGAGGGTCCTTCCAGCTTGGGAGGGCCAGGGTTCTAAACCGCAGCTCCTGAAAATGTTTCTCTGGCCTATCACACTTCCAAATGTGTCTCTTATTCCTAGCAGCACAGTTTGGCAGAGCCGAAGAGGTGAGCTGATAACGGTCTCTCCCTGCCTAAGGGCAAACAGAGGCAGACAGAACCATCTAGTTGAGGAGTTTGCTAACTTTTTTATAAAGGGTTGGATAGTAAATATTTGGGGCTATGAAGTCTTTGTTGCAAGTACTCAATTTTGTATAACTTTCATGTGTCTCAAAATATCTTTTTTTGTTGTTTTTGAGACAGAGTCTCATTCTGCTACCCAGGCTGGAGTGTAGTGGCACAATCATGGTTCACTGCAGCCTTGACTTCCCTGGGCTCAGGTGATTCTCCTACCTCAGCCTCCAGACTAACTGGGACTACCGGCACGTGCCACCATGCCAGGCTAATGTTTATATTTTTTGTAAAGACGGGGTTTCACCATGTTGCCCAAGCTAGTATCAAACTCCTGGGCTCAAGCTCTTTGCCCACCTTGGACTCCCAAAGTATTAGAATTACAGGCATGTAATTGTATGTAATTCAAATTCTAACACTTCAGCATTACAGGCACGTTTATCATTTACCAAAGGGTTTATATTTGTTATTATAAGAACTTTTTTGATTATTATTGATTGGGCCTCATAACAATTCTGTGACGCAGAAAACATCTTCACAGACAAGCAAGCTGTGGCTGGAGAACATCAGCAGTGCCCCGGGCCACACAGTGGGACACTGGCCTCACAGCCTCAAGAATTACAGGTCATTACACATGGCCTATCATTCTTCTGATCTTTTCAACCATTTGAAAATATAAAAACCACTCTTGGCTCGTTGCTCAGGAGGTGGGCCAGATGTGGCCCATGAACCATAGTTTGTGGACCCCTGGTCTGGACTGTTCTCACCCTAAGTCTATTGCCAGGTGGCTTCAGGCAAGACACTTCACCACTGTGAACATCAGTCTCCTCACTCCTTATAAAGTAAATTCAGTCTGGACTCGGGACTAGTTGGGAGATGCCTGCCAGGGGCAGAGTGCGCAGCTGTCTACTTGGCCTCAACCTGGAAAAATCAAGACAACGGACAAATGCTTTTCCGTGATATACCAACGTACCCTCTCCAGAGTTCGAAGACGGCTTCCTGGGCTTACAGACTGGAGGTCTTCCCCTCTGCATTTGGGGCAGATCTGATCCTCGCTGTTCCTGGGGAAACATGGACAAAGCCTTGGAGAGAGGCACCACAGTTCCCTGCACCATCCACTCTCCTGACAGCTCCAGAAGCCTCAAGTGTCAGCAGGTTGGGGATCGTGTATGTCCACAATCCCAGAGCCACAGTTCCTAAATCGCAAAAGTGCCGAGCATCCCACGTTTTTTTGGTAATTTGCAGTGAGCTTCCTGGGCTGCCAAACCTGCCCTGACTGCACTGACCGGAAGCTATTACAGCCCTTACTTACTCCACTTAGTGTGAATATATACATATTTCATTGCAGAAACATTAACGTGCTTGATTACAGGGCACTGCCCCATTCCCTGCCAGAATTGTATAATGCCCTGATTTGCTTTTCTAAAAAAATTCTTAATTACAAAACACATCTGATCTCAGGGGTTTAGGCAAGAGATTGCTGACATGTGACTACACTTGCTCTTCTCATTTGGTCCTCCATTTGGTTTTGGTCTCATATGTTTAGTAATTACAGAGGATCATGGCCTATTAGAACAAGAAGGGGCCTCAGAGAATATCTGGCCTGGAGGTTCTTAATCAGGAGTGGGTGTCAGATTCTAATGGGTAACACCTGGGTACCCACGGATTTTTGTTTTGTTTTGTTTTTTGGGGGGTTTTTATTTTTTGGAGACAGGGTCTTACTCTGTCGCCCAGGCTGGAGTGCAGTGGCATGATCTCGGCTCACTGCAACCTCTGCCTCCCAGGTTCAAGTGATTCTCATGCCTTAGCCTCCTGAGTAGCTGGGATTACTGGGATTACAGGTGTGTACCACCATGCCCAGCTAATTTTTGTATTTTTAGTAGAGACGAGGTTTCACCTTGTTGGCCAGGCTGGTCTCAAACTCCTGACCTCAAGTGATCCTCCTGCCTCGGCCTGCCAAAGTGCTGGGATTACAGGCATGAGCCACTGCACCTGGCCAGCACCTGCGTTTTCACAAAGCTCCTGGTGTCTCTGACCTGCTACTGAGATAGCCCATTTTACGAAAGAGGGAATGAGGCCCCAGAGGGCATGTGGATTAGTCAAGGTAGAGTGAGTCATGAGCACAGCTGAGTAGAAGCTCTTCAGGACTTAGGCCTCAGGCCTCAGCCCTCCAAATTCCAATCAGCTCCCTCCTCTGCCAGGTTTTGGAAGGAGGGAGAGAAGAAACCAGGAGACCCACCACCAGAGCCTGAGCTGAACCCTGACAATCAGCTTGATGGTAAAACCAGACAACCTCTGCTCCTCCACCCTCTGGTTGGCCTTTCCACGGTCACAGCCTCTCCTCGCTATTCTCACAGCCTCCTCCTTTGTCATCATGTTTGAACTTCTCACTTGCCTGATTCAGCTTTCCCACCTTCTTAAGCTGTAAAACCCCAAACAAAAGGTCATCACATGAGGCAGTTTAAGGGCATATTTGCCAGGAAACTGACCAAAGCTGACCTAACCTATTAGGCCTCAATGTCCTCATTTGTAAAATAGGATCATAATAGTATCCACCCCTGTAAGCTGTGCTGAGGACCTGAGGGCAGAGCATTTGGCACACAGTAGGCACATAATTGCTTAAAGAGGAATGTTGATGATAGTACTGATGTCATGCCTTTCTGGGTTAATACTTTAAATATCATTAAATACATAAATATATATCGATCTCTTTGTCCCCTCCAAAAGGGTTCCCAGCAAACAGTGATGAGCAATGCTGTGGAAGGAGAGATATTCGTCTAACAGTTTGTCATTCACCAAGGGGTTTATATTTGTTACTATAAGAACTTTTGTGATTATTATGCATTGGGCTTCATTAATAATTCTGCTATGCAGAAAACAGCTTTACAGACAAGCAAGCTGCAGCTTAGGGACATTAGCAGTGCCCCAGGCGACACAGTGAAACAGTGGCCTCACAGCCTCGAGGCTCTCCTCGGTGTGATCGCTTTCCCCTGTGGGAGCTGACGCCTTTCTGTGGCTTCCTCTCCTTCCACCATAGCCAGAGGGGCAGTGTCAGGGAGTGTGAGAAAAGGGTGTGGACACTGAGGCCCAGACAGGAAAAGTCACCTGCTCAAAGTCACAGGCTCCTCTGCCCCTCACCTCCCATCAGGGGTCCCCCCTGGCACCCACTTTCTGCCCACCCTCCGCTCCTCCATCACCTCACCTCAGGTTCTCAGAGAGACAGCCTGTGCAGCAGAGAGCCCTAGGCTCCTTTGGGTCCCGGCAGACGGTGGGAGGGCACCCAAAGGGAAACTCATTCTCATCAGGGGCCGGGCGTGGGCTGCTGCCTGAGCTGGATGCCATCTCAGGGTCCCAGGCTGGCCAGAGGGCCTGTCTAAGTTGCTTCAGGACAGGGGACCAGCCCTGTGGAGTCCTGGCCTGGGCCTCACTCTCTGGTGAGTAGGAGCTCTGATGACTTTATCTTCTTCTCTCTGGCTTGTGTGGTTCAACGTCACAGCTGAGTCACAGCAGGGATGGAGCAGGAATTACCCTTTGTGGTGATAAAAATCCCCTGGATGGTGACTGAAGGCTTTAGGAGTGTCCAGTCATTTTTTTTTTTTTTTTTTTTTTTTGAGAGTGAGAAAAAGCAAGAGAGCAAGTCAGAGAAAATGACCCGTGTCACAGACTCTCAGAAAGCACAGTGAGAGTTCCCCTGGCTGAGAATCGCAGGCTGCCGCTGGCTTCCCCCACCTCCCTGGGCACATCGGAGGAGAAGGCCATAGCTGGCCCCTGGTCTGTGTTCCCTGGCACCTCTGAGCAGCCTGGAATTCTCAGTGGGGGTGCTCACCTTCCTGGTGGAAATCCCCAGGGTGTTGAAGGCAAGTCCAAAATTTCAAGTTCTAGGCACTTTTGCTCTGCTCTGTGTGGAGTGTCTGGATGATCTCAAAGAGAAGTCACTTCCTCACAGTGGGTTCTGATGACCCCATCTGTAAAAAAGAAGTCGCAACAGGTGGCTTCTAGGCTGTAAGATTCTGGGACCCTATCTTGCCTGGGACTGAGGCAACCAGAAGGAGCAGGAAAGCCCTGATGAAATCCAAGGCCTTAGGACCACAGACTCCTCAGGGCCCTCCCTGCACCACCCCACTCAGGAAGTCATAGGTGGCTACATGCTCCGGTCAGGTGCCACCACTTTGCTGCCTCAAGGAGAACAAAGCATTAAACAACTACAAGATCACGGCAGCTGGTCTCAGCAGCCAAGTGGGACGTAGATCCACGTTTGCAGGAGAAGTACACCTTGGAAACGATGGCTCCTGGCATGTGTACTGTGTGCTGGGCAACAGTTTCCCTCCAAATCCTTACAGCAACCTGCAAGGAATTCTTCTGCAGCTGTACATAGGGTCAGAGAAGCAAGATGCCTGGTCCAAAGGCACACAGCCTCTGGTGGTGGAGCAGGATTCACTCCAGGGCTGTGGGGCCCCAAGCTCTGTGCGTGTGATCTCTGATGGAGATCAGAGTACCCAGCTCTTGTCTCATCTATTAAATGGAGAAGATGATCCCTACATATCTTTCCATCGAGTTCAGCTGCTACAGAGGTTTTGCAAACTTTCACATTGGTTTCAGATCATGGGTTTTGAGGTCAGACAGAGCTGAGTTGAAATCCTGGGTCCACTGCTTACTAACTGCGGGCCCTGGGACAAAGTCCTTAACTTCTCTGAAACTCAGATTCTGCATCTGTAAAATGGGACAATAATACCTATTTCACCCAACTGTTGTGATGACTAAATGAGATCGTGGATCAAAGTGTGGTGTGTAGCCCAAGTGAAGTACTTGAAAGACTTTGACATTTGGCTCAGATGGTGACTACAGGCCTTCCAGCTCCTCAGAGAAAAGGATGAAAGTGGGACATTATGCTTACACTGTGTTTTCACATCTATCTACTGGAGCCTCACAGGTGGGCAGTGCAGGTCATCGGACCTGAGATACATTAAACTGCCCACCTGCCCTGGTGTAACACCGGGGCTGCCACAGGCTGGTGGCAAAGAGGGCACGGCATCTTACAGCCACAGTGTACATCAGGACCTTCACCCCTATAGCAAACGACCTCCAGGCCTGCATCAAGACCATGAGAAGACACTCCCTTTAACTGTGTACCCCATAGCTGCAAACTTTCCTACAGCCCTACCTGTTCCCTCCTTTCCCTGGGGTTTGAGATAAAACAAACACCCAAGACTTCTCTCCCCATCTGTGGGTCCCTTCTCTCCCCTCTGGCTTCAATACCACCCACTCTACCTGTTCATTCCCACGGACATCAAAATGTGCCCAAGCTGCTCTAATAAGAAAAGGGAAAAATAACTAGTACTACTTTTGGGTGCTGTGTTATGTAATTTTACAGACATCATCTCATCTAATTGTCACTCTATGAAGCAGGTATGGCCATCATCATCCCCACCTTAGAGATGAGAAAACCGAGGCACAGAGAGGCTAAGTGACTTGCTGAAGGTCTCACAGCTAGTGAGTGGGGACTCCTGAATCCAGAGCCAGTTCTCTAACCACGCATGCCTTTACAACACTCTATTCTCGTCTCCAATTTCTACATCTACCCTCTCCTCACTTAAGAACCCCTCTCCTAGGGGTTCTTAATTGTAGAACCCCTAGAAAAGATTGTCTATACAGGCACTTGGATCTCCAGGGAATCATCTCTCCAAGTGTATATGAATGTCGAGGACGCCAAATGCTCTGGGCCCGTCCCAGTCTCTATCCAACCAGCCCTTCTGCCAGCACCTGACCGGCTCTCAGCCCTTCCTTCCGGATTCCCTTCCTTTCCCCGGCTTCCCGCATCCTCTGGGGGGAATTCCCCCTGCGTCTCTGGTGGCTCCTTATTCGTCTCCTTGACCCCTTTCTCTTCCACACTGGGCCTCCATCGGCTCCATCCACGAGAAGTCTCTCTGCGCCGCGTGTCCCCATCTCCCACTCGTCCTTCGGGGCGCCCCTGCACTAGACCCCACTCCCATGGGAAGTCTTTGTGGGCCCCATGATGAGGCTGGGCGCCCCGCTCTGTGATTCCTCTCGCCTGCCGGCGCCAGCACAGCCCCCGCCGCCCGGCTCTGCAGGCCGGGTTGCCTGTCTGAGCCCCCAGCCCAGTCGGTGATCCCTCCCGAGGGCGGGGGAGCGTCGCGTCGCCACCTCAACATATCCAGTTGCGAGCGCAGCGCTGGGAGTCAGGCAGCGCCGGTGCCCGCGGAAGCAGGAATAAGCCGCCGGGCGGCCGGGGCGCCTGCCGCTGGGCTGGGGGCAGTGAGTCCAGGGGCCGGCTCTGCAGCCGAGGTTCCATGTCCCCGGCTGCGCCCGGGGAGTCCCCGCTTCAGCGAGGGGGAGCTGGAGCGGGGCGTCCAGGACGAGGAAGGGGGCCGGGGAGCCGCCCTGCTGTCCTGGGGCAGGGGTGCAGAGCAGCCAACCTCGTCGCCGCCTCCGCCACCACCTACCCGCGGCCCTGCCGGGAGCTTCCGGTGGAGTGTGGAGGACGCAGCCGCGCGGGCGGAAACCTGGAAGGCAGGGCCGGGGCGGGGGGCTGCTGCTCCGCGGCCCGCCGCGGGCGGGGCGAGCGATCCCCATGCGGGGAAACTGAGTCCGAGGGCTGGGTCTGCGGCGCCACGGGCACTGTGCGCCCAGTTAACTGACACGCGTGCACGCCGCTCCTCCGCGTGCGGGGCTCCTGGCACCTAGTGCAGCACCTGCGCGTATTTAGTGCTCAGTAAAATGCCCCCTGAAAAAACAAACACGAACCGGGAATTGGAGCCCCCACCCTGGTCCCCTGCCTGCCTGAGATCCGAGTAGTGAGGTGAAGAGCAGTAAAACCCAAGTCTTACCATTCTTGGATTTCTCCAGAAGATCCTAGCACAGTGCCAGGCTCTCCCAAGCTTATTGGGTTGAAGCAATCAAGTGATAGTACTTGATAGTACTTGATCAAAGTGATAGTACTAAGTGGTTCCAGGCCCTTTGCTTTCACAAACTGGGTATTTTAAGGAACCGTTTCTGTTTTCGTCTAAGCGCGCGCGCACACACACACACACACACACACACACACACACACACACAGAGTCGCTAAATCCTTAAGAATATATTAATCAAAATAGTTACGGAACTTAGTGTTGGGGTAGAATTTTAGATTAAAAGCTACACAACCTTTATTTTTGCGAACTACCAATTTGACAAAGGCTCCTTCTCTGTCAGATGTCTTAACCTTGTAGGACTGATGGTGGAGGGAGGGATGAGACTCTCCACCTTGTTGGTTTGGGTTTAACACCTCAAAAATCTCTTTATGTGTTAGGGTCCTTTTTTTTTTTGAGATGGAGTTTCACTCTTGTCACCGAGGCTGGAGTGCAATGGCCCAATCTCGGCTCACTGCAACCTCTGCTTCCTGGGTTCAAGCAATTCTCCTGTCTCAGCCTCTTGAGTAGCTGGGATTACAGGCGCCCGCCACCACGCCCAGCTAATTTTTGTATTTTTAGTACAGAGGAGGGTCTCACCATGTTGGCTAGGCTGGTCTCGAACTCCTGACTTCAGGTGATCCACCCACCTCCGCCTCCCAAAGTGCTAGGATTACAGGCGTGAGCCACCACACCTGGCCTAGGGTCCCTTTTTATGGCCCGACTCTCAACTAGATTGTAAGAGCAGGGAACGATCTTTTACGTGTTTGTTTTTTAACCCGGCATGCCTGTAAGTCTCTCACTTACTGGGGGCAGAGCTGCTGTCCTCCAACTTCCACTAGACAGGCGGAAGCTGTGGGACACAGGGTACTCTAGTCAAAGGGGGACCTCAGGGGTCCACCTGGGAGGGAAATGCTGCTTGTGGACAAGCAGAGGATCTCGGGGCCTCTAAGAGAGAATGTCTGCAAACTATGGGAGGTTGACCAGATGTGGCCTCTGTGGGGCCTTTCGATTCTGGGGGAAAAGGATTCAAAGAATTAAGTGTCTGAATTAAAAATTGATGGGCCGGGCGTGGTGGCTCACCCCTGTAATCCCAGCACTTTGGGAGGCCAAGGCGGGCGGATCACGAGGTCAGGAGCTCGAGACCAGCCTGGCTAACACGGTGAAACCCGTCTCTACTAAAAATACAAAAAATTAGCCAGGCATGGTGGCAGGCACCTGTAGTCCCAGCTACTCGGGAAGCTGAGGCGGGAGAATGGCGTGAACTCGGGAGGCGGAGCTTGCAGTGAGCCGAGATCACGCCACTGCACTCCAGCCTGGGCGACAGAGCAAGACTCCGTCTCAAAAAAAAAAAAAAAAAAAAAAAAAATGGATGGACTCTGAGTCAATTAGTCTGATGGTTTTCCCATCATCAGAAAACATTTATTTATCTTTGACCTTGCCTTTTTCTGGGTGTTGTGAAGTTAGAAATAACAATTCTAGTAAAAATTTGGGAAGAAATCTGGGGTTATTTGTTGAAGGGAGTTTCTAAGTCTAGTGATTTTCCATAACTCAACAGATTTCTGGATTTTAAGAAAAGAAACAAAGCACCTCTGAAGTTATTTGAATTCTAGGCACCAAGCAATCCCTGGGGTTTTTCTAGTTGTTTATGGGACTGGTCACTTTGAAGGCGCAGTGGGGATTTCAATTTCTGATGGAAGTGCCAGTGACACTCATAGTCAGGGGATGTCGTTCAGGGGAAGAGCTTGGCAGATGGATCCTTTGACAGGGACATGCTCTAAGATGCCAATGAGGAGGAAGACATTGATACTAGCCAGCTCACTGCCTCTCTTTGTCATCTGTAGCTACCCATGTGTCCTGTTCTAAGAGACCGATTTTTCTGTGTGGCAATTCTTTCTTTCATGGACTCTGGAAACAAAGACTCTTCCAAAGGTGGGCACACTGCACAAGGGCCTTTTGAAGAAAAGTTTCTCAAGGATTTGGGGCCTATAAAAGCCATTCTCCTCTGTCCCACCCACCCCTTCCTCTCTGCCCTAAGCCAGTGTAAGTGAAAAGAGCAGGCAGTCTGACCTCACTCTCTTCATGTGCCACATCCTGTTTTCAGATTAATGAGCTCATTTGCTGGAAATTTACCAAGGGAAATAGTTTAATTTTGGAAAGTACCAAAAACTTATCTGTAGTCATTCAGCTTCATTTGGGGGGCTCTTGAAACGGAGGGGCATCACCGGAGGACTTCTGAATGCCCAGGGAGCAGCAAGGCAACAGAAATTGAAAGCCAAGCCCAGTGAGGCTGAACCTGACTCAGAAAGGAAATAAAATCTTTTGGAGGCCACTCATGTCTACCCAGTTGAATTTTTTTTTCTAAAAATAACTTTGAAAAGAGAAATAGTTCATCTGGCCAAGGCCTCATATCTGGTGGTCTGACCATGGAGCCATGACTGAGGAACAAGAACATGAACACAGGGAAGTGGGCAGTGTTTGAGCCTCCACCCTCTACCTTCTTGTGCATGTATTAATATGTTTGGCTTGTTCTAGGAGGCACGGAAAGGCTTTCAGTCTCTAGTTTCGCCCCAATCCCTTAGCAAACCGACCCTTGACATTGAAGTTGCCTGCCTAACCTAGTAGCCCTCTGAGCTTGTGGCTCCTGCAGCCAGGGGGATTCTAGATAATCACAGATTTGCAAGCCATTCTGCATTGGAGATGATGAGATGATGGAACACAAGTGATGTGCACCCTAGACTTTGCCTCTAAGTATCCAACCATGTCCTGGCCTGCACTGTTTCCCAGAGTAGAGATTTATAATCCATTCTAAGCAGAATGAATGGAACACGTCAGTGAATCCAGCTGGCTAAAGGCAGCCATTTGGGCAGGCTCCTGTTTGTCAACAGCCCTTAAAATGTGGAGCCCAGAATGGTTATCACTCCCTCAACCCCAGTGAGTGCTTTGGTGCCTTCTTCTCATTGCCAGCAGCACGCCTTGTCTCTGTCATATGGCTTGTGTTCAGTAAAAACAATTAGTGAACAGCTTTCCTGTTAGCATCATCTTAATCTGCTCTGATAACTTCTGATTCCTGAACCAGGAAATTTAATTAAACAGATGATTACAAGCTGTCAGCAACCTATCAGATTAGAAGACCAAATGGTACTGGGTTCTTCAATCCAAATTCTGTATCTCCCTTTGGTACATTACACAGAACTGATACCAACAACAAAACAAAGAAATAAAACATGATCTTATAAAAATGATAGCATAACACGTGTACTTTTTGCTATGGTCTGATGATTAAAAATGTCCCAAATTTCCCTCTGTTAATCTCCATCTTGGTTCTTATTACATTTATAATAAGTAGCAATTTTTAAAACGTGCCAGTTTACAGGTTTTTTTCTTTCTACCACAGAATTATGAATACATGAAATTGAAGGAATATATGAAAATGTGTATTAGGAATATATGAAATTAGATGAATTAAAACCATGAAAGTAAAGCTGTATCTGATTTCATTGTTGTTCCCCCTGGCATAGCAGGATGCTAGGTACATAGGAGACATCAATAAATATTTATTCAATAAATGGCTAATATGCAAGACACTATTAATACAAATTTTTACTTATGGTAATAACAGTTAATGATTATTTCCCCACCATCAGAAAACATTGATTAAGTATCTTCAACCTGGCCTTTTCCTGTGTGTTGTGAAGTTAGAAATAGCATTCTGGCAAAAATTTGGAAAGAAATCTGGGGTTGTTTGTTGAAGGGAGTTTCTATGTCCAGTGATTTTCTCTATCCCAAGAGATTTCCAGATTTTAAGAAAAGAAACAAAGAACCTCTGAAGTTATTTGAATTGTAGGCACCAAGCAGTCCCTGGGGTTTTACTAATTGGTTATGCACTTTGAAGGCGCAATGGGGATTTCAGTTTCTGATGGAAGTGCCAATGACACTCATGGTCAGGTGACGTGGTTCAGGGGAAGACCTTGGCAGATGGACCCTTTGATAGGGATATGCTCTAAGATGCCAATGATGAGGAAGACATTGATACCAGCCAGCCTACTGCCTTTCTTTGCCATCTCTGGCTACCTATGTGTCCTGTTCTAAGAGACTGGTTTTGCTGTGTGACAATTTCTTCTTTCATGGACTCTGGAAACAAAAACACTCCCAAAGGTGGACATTCTGTCCCAAGGCGTTTTTCTGAACTATGGAATTATTACTCTTTCTTCATACTCACCTTTGTGAGGCTTGGGCCCCCTGGCCA